TATTATTATATAATATATATAATATATATAATTATATATTATATAATTATTAAAATAATTAATAAATTTTTCACATTTGAAAATTCGATGTTGAGCTTTGCAAACAGGATATGGTTTGATATTATCTGTTACAAATACTTGCGTTATTGGTGTCATCCTTGAAGATTCATATCCTGTTGGAGATTCTATGGTTAAAGCGCGTGATTCTAATGATCTTTGTATATGTCCTAACGCTATCACTCGTTCGTTATCATAGTTTACTTTCAAGACATTTCATGCTTCTTTGTAATTCTCATCGATGATATCAAATGAATCAATAAGCTTTGATGCACTTTCAATTAAAGCTGAGCGTAAGCACTGGAGCTTTTGCGCGTTTGACAAGCCTTGATGCTGATGTTTAATGGTCTTGAATGCATTTTCGAAAGTTCGCCAATGCTCGTGCTTTCCGTCAAATTTGGGAAGGTCTACCTTTGGTAATCTTAAGGTTGCAGTGTTATTGCTCACGTGGCGTAACCATATGCTACGTATCTGTATATGGTGTTAACCGATTCCTGGCATCTGCCAGTGCATCATAGAAATGGTCTAGTATTTCTAATCGTGTAGAAAGGTAATCTACTGTGGGTTCTAACTTTTCCAATTGAGTTTGTATGTCCTCAAATAAAATAAATGCTTCTTCTAATTTTTCAACACGAATCGCTAATGCCGTCTTATTGTCATGTTCCCCGAATTTATCGACAAATTTCTTAAAATGTGTTAGTTTTGCCTTTAAAACACCACGTCGATAAATTAACTCGGAAAGTTATTTTGCATTTTCATTAGCCATGATTTATGTAGGTAAATAGAATAGAATAGGAAAAGGATAGACTTAATAATTCTTTAGTATAACGAGCTTACCTTGATTGATTTACAAAGGATGATCTTGTGTAAAGAGATGTGGTCAATGTTGCCAATTTCTTCGTTGTTGTGGACCACATGTTGGATGACTGATCTGTCCGTACCTTGCTTTATGTTCACTCTTCACTTCACTCTTTACTTAATGTCTAATTATCTATGAATATGATCGCGCACTTGCGATACAGTAGATATATCCGATTGATATATCCGGCTCGAAGGACCAAAAATGATCGCGCGCACTATATATTATGCTGACGCGAATCCGTTTCAAAACTAACGTACAGGTTTTAAGTTGCAATTATAAGCGAGTTTGTACGGAAGGTCTCACGACGGTAAATTAATACAGTGTGAGTGGTTTTGTAGTATACTAAAGGCACTTCTTTAGTCAACAATGATTTATTAACTTGAGTCTTCGCGATTATGTTACAATTGTTCGATGTGGACTGTATAAATGTATGATGTATAATAGACAATGTGTATTACAGGCAAGAGTACTTAATGGACAGAACCCTCCTTACATTATTTCACGGGTTTTTATACATAAGTTAGTTACACCCCTTTGGAGAGGGAAGAACTTAAATGGAACTTATTGGCCAATAGTAGGAGGGTCCACCTACCAGGATCTCCCGATGGAAAATCTTATGTTTTTGGGAAAGGGAAACAATGCATAAAGAAACGTGATCTAGAATATCGGAATGTTATTTCTTTTTATGGTATCGTACGTGCTTAGATATGAATCAGAAACCTTCAAAGGGCCCGACACTGTATAAAGGGTTTTCATCGCACCATATGTTTTTTGATCATTGAGATAGTTTGGGAAATTATGACCCTTTGGAATTTCTTAATATTTAGGTAAACAATAACTTATATCTGCTACCTATCGTATTTCATGATATTTTATTTCATAGGCTTATCACAGGATCTGTTTCACAGAAATTGAATATTATAAAAAATAACAAATATAAAGTTTATCGTCTACAAAAGATTTGTGGTACTGAACATTTTCCAAGATTTTAGCTTCAAATTTTGTCAAAACGAATATTTTTTTTATGATACAGTAAAGTTACACAAAAAATTTTGATATTTTCGAAAAGTACACACTTTTTTCAACGTATGGGTGTAATTTTATTGATTTTGAATCTCTAGAATTTTTTTATAGTGAAAAAACGAAATTTTTCCATGCATTTTTTAACAAAATTTGTTAAAACGAAAATTTTTTATACGATGCAGTAAAGTTACAGAAAAACTTTTAATATTTTCGAAAAGTACACAATTTTTTGAAGATATGAGTATAATTTTATCGATTTTGAACAAAATAAATTAATTTTGTTAAAGAATTAAAAAAAAAAAGTGCGATTTAGCGACAAGCCTACAGAATAATAATCCGCTTGAATTTTTGGTTTCAGAATTTTTCCTTTTTTTTCGAGGACTCCACTTTGACTTAGAAAATCATAAACAATTTTATATAAAATGAAATCAAAAAAATTTTTTTGTACACTTTAAGACAATAATAAAAAGATATCTAAATTTCAAAACAATCACATTTTATTTTCATGTATAGAAAACGTCGAAATTTTGGGCGTTACTCCGAGCTTATACCTTAAGTCTCACAATTAGTTAGTTAACTCGAGCCAGTGCTGTCAGATCGTGGGTAAATCTTACCCTCTCCCAGTGCCACTGGGATTGCACACAATGAAAGTTTTCCATGTCCGTGTGTTGGGATGTCGAAAGAAGTCGAGTGTAACCGAAGTTGGCGGGCACGCCGGAGTGGCATACTATGAAAGCGACTCGTGTCGTCCGAACACATGGACACGAGTCGCTTTCATAGTGTGCCACTTCGTGGCCAACCGCCAACTTCGGTTACACTCRRCTTYYYTCGACATCCCAAACACACGGACATGGAAAACTTTCATTGTGTGCAATCCCAGTGGCACAGGGAGAGGGTAAGATTTACCCACGATCTGACAGCACTGTCTGACAGCACTGATCCCAGAGACTTCAGCATGTCTGATCGACACAGGACCGTAAAAATTAGATGTGACACTCACTTCTGATTTCCACATCTGTTGAGAATTTTTCGGATTGGATTTTCAAAATCTGCAAAAAAGTACCAACTTTTTTAAACTTGATGACCTTTTTTTTTTAGTCTTCTGTCTTCTGTCGTAGGGCTGTCGTAGGGGTGATCAACCTGCCGAGTCGATGTTTTTCGAGATCTCGAATAAAAATCGATATTCAACTTACCTTTTTGCAAAATTTGATGAGTAAAAAAGAAAAACTAAACTGTGATCTTATAATTTATTGTATATGTGACTTGTGACTGTGTGACAGCAGTGAGATGGGGGAAATAGGAGGCGCTGGACGCTGAGCAAGCGAGCGAAGCAAACAAAACAAAAACAACTTCGAGACATATCGATAAAATATCGAATTATCGTAATATCGATAATTATCGTACGAATGGGATCACTGTCAGTATCATGTTGAGCCAAAATTGTTCCTTAAGGGGTTTAGGGATCCTAAGGGGTTAAACATTTGTCCCCATCTAAACAGAAAAGCACGTACTACGTATGTTTAAATTTAAAGCACTGCCGCTAGGTGATGCCAAGTGTTTTTTTACTGCTTTGTTGATTGCACTTGGGCAAATTAAACATGGCCACCTGTCTATTTTGCAACCTGTGGATTGTGTAAACTATCTAGAATACTAATTGTAAGTAATGCAATATTCGCGTGAATAATGTTTTATGAAAAAATAGTTATCTTTTATTATGTACACTAAAAAGTTTTGAATCGATAATTTAAAGTGTATAAAATTTCCGAGAATGCAATACTTGTAAATTGCACATCTTTGTCATTTCTATGAAAACTTTACCTTAAGATTAATTATACCTAATGTTAACAAATTTTAATCAGGCTTATAATAAATTAAAATTCATTCTTTTTCTACGCTTCGAATTCCTTGAGTTGTTCGAAATTAAGCACCTTAAATTCTATTTATTGTAAATATTATTCCCGTTATACACGTGCTCAACGTTTCGAAAGTCATATAAACAACATTAAACAAAAGTATTTTCATAAAGGACAATGTTTTAACTTAATAATAATTTTTATGATTATAATTGAAATGATGAACCAATTATAATTATCACGGTAACGATTACCAACTTGAATAAGTTAAATCTATGTTGTGTCAAATATGTATGCTCTTTAGAAAAGTATAGAGATCTGTGTTATATATTCCTAATAAGTACGACATTTTAACGGTCCATTTTCCGCATTTGAAAGTCGTCTCTGTGTATATATGTACATAGTGTTAATATTCTACTTTATAACCAATAGATATATATTTTAACTATGTATATATTACATTATTTTTCATATTTTGTTCGATTAGACAATAACAAAGTTAAACAAGAAGAGTGAAAAGAATATAAGTAACATAAAGAAGATAAGCGAAATATTCTTAATCTTAATTTATATTTACGTGAACCTGAGTTTAAATAATAACGATATGGAGAATAATACCCGTAATACAAAATTCCATTTAAAAGTAATAGAAATAACAGAAGAAAATGCTCTCCTCCGAGAAGAAATGGCCAAATTAGACGATAGAAATTTATTTTTGGAAAGACAACAAAAATATTTGAAACGTCAATTGTATGTATTTAATAACATATTTTTTTATACTTATCATGTATTAAAAAGGGTTTCTAAAGCCACATAATTATCTAATTATCTAACAAAATTAATTGAATAGGATGCCTAATATACTTTGTACAGAAGTCTGAAGTCTGACAAGGGCTGGTCTTTTTTCATCCTATCGTTTTTCCTACTCACTCTTACGCATATTTTGAAAAACGGTCTACGTATATGTTACCATTAAAGCGTGAAATCCTACATTTCGTAGGATAATTTTGTAATTTTTAAATTTTTCATGAAATATTCAAAGAGGCCGTTAAAGTATAAAATGAGCTAGAATTGTATACTTAAACTAGTTATTCTATGAAATAACGAAGTGCAATTGGTTGAAGCTTGAAATACAAATTTAATGTCAAGTATAGAAAAATATTCTTCAATTTTGTTCCACACGCTTTAACGATGATATATATAGAGATGTGATCTTTATTCATTTATCTCATTCTGAGGATCATTAAGTTTTATTCGTCAATTATTTCGCAGAGAACGAATCCACGAGAATTATAGTGAACTACAACGAGAATATGATGAACAAAAAGATACATTGGATGAAGTGAAAAGAAAAGAAAAAGAGGCCAATATAGCCCTGAAGAAGTCCTTACAAGAGCAACGAATATTACTTAAGAGATTAGAGACGGCCGAATTAGAGGTTGTAATGGATATGATCGTTTCTGTAGACGAGAAAAATCTTATGAATTCATAATTAGAATTTTTCGTGCACTTGCAATTAGGTGCTACAAATTACAAATCTAAAGGATAAATTAAAGGAAGTTACGAATGAAAGAGTCGAGTCTATGAAGATGAATGCTGAATTAGTCGAAAAATTAGAGAAAAATCATATCGAGTACGAATCGTTGCTTATATCAATTGCAAACTTGAAAAAGGCAAATGATAATCTTCGAAATAATTATGAAGCTCGCGAAAATGTAATTAAAGTAAGCCGATCTATACTTTTCTCATTTGAGATTAATGCTTTACTAAATAATATCTAAATTATTAAATTAAAAGATAATATCTATACCTATATTGCAGATGCTACGTGAAAATAATCAACAACTAGAAGAGGAAAATACGGAATTAAAATTATTACGAAGCGTGGATACCCATACTTCTATTGACCGAGTGAGTTCAATTTTCTCTTTCATTAATCGAATTCCGCATAAATATGTAAAAATCTTGAATTTTATTGACAGCCCTCTTAGTACTATCTGATGCAAAAGGATCTTAATAAGGTGTACATGTGTTGTTTGAGTAATAAATTATCTCTTTCAACCTATCTAAATGTTAGATACAATATATTTTACTATCCTTTTAATTATTTTGTAAATTTTTCATTGTTATCTTGTAATTTTATATTCTTTCCTAACTTCATTTAACTAACTCTATATTAATGGGTTTATTTCGTAAAATAAATAAATAATAATAATTTTCTGAATTAATTTATAGCTCTCACATTCCGACGAGGAATCATATTGCACGATACACGATTCTCCCTACACTATATTTAACGATTCAAACCATCAAGATTCCCTCTATGACGAATTGAAAGCATCTGTAAGTAGAAAAGCTTTATTTTCTATTATATTATAGAAAAAAAAAATAAAGAGAAAAAAAGAAGATAAAATCAAAGATATCAATATAAATGCTTAAACGAACAATTTTTCACGTTATTAATGGGTGCGCATGTGCGTTTGTTCTTTAGGGTTTTGCGAATATATGCAGCTGGAATGATACGATAAGTCGCGAATTGAAAAAGGAAGTGCAATGGTACGAATTAGAAATTCATAAACTTATACAACAAACCGAAAGGTGAATATATTCATTCATTTCAACTAATGTTTTATGCACGATATCAAGGCGAATAATTAAAATACCGGGATATATATATATATATATTTTGCTTTCTGATTTATTCAAGTATTTTCCAACAAACGTTGGTATTGACACGAAACGAGAAATGTGTTAATGTTAAGCACAATGTAATTGAGAGCTCTGAAAAGTTGAACAATTTGGAGATACTTAGACAAAGAATACAAATTCTACTGGATACGGTTAGTCACGTAAAGCAAGCAAATAGGAAATTAAATCATTATTAAAATAAAAATTGAATTTAATAGGTAAACGCAAAGCCCCCAGAAGCAGGCTTAGAAACCGATATTCAAATACAAACACAAAACTCTAGATCAAGAATAAATGTGTGCGATTTGTCTACTTTCAACTCTAACGAAGATCATGTGGAATATTTGTAAGTAAATTAATTACACAATAATATGTTTAAAAAAAGAAAAAAGTAAAAGGTCTTAGAAATTACATCTTCTAATCGTTTAATTTTAGTTCAAAAAAAGATCAAATAATTACGTCTTACGACAATATCTCGAATGAAAAGCAAGAACCTAAAGTAATAATGGTGCCGGAAACTAGCACTGTCAATCCAATCATACAAACATTCCATCAAAATGTTCGACCTGTTACCAATTCGCACCCAAGTCCAACCAAAAAATCAATAAAAAACGTCAGGTTAATGCAACAAAACAGCTTAAGCTTTCTATCATATATCTACCTAATATATACATATTTATTTCGTTTAATTATTAATTATCCATTATTATTTATCTTGTAGTTTAATTTCATTGGAAAAAAGAACGATTCCATACACATCAACGAAGTGTCAGGATACCACTAACGATGCTTCCAAAATAAAATACGATACTTTTTGCCACAGTAATGGAAATAGTACGAAGGAAAATGAAGAACTACAATTTATGGATCATTTATCCTTACCAATAAACTTTCCAACTACATTCCAACCAGTTACTATTAAATGTAATTTATTTCTTTATATATACACGTATATATGTTACGAGCACTCTATAGAATGCCCATGCGAGGAGATTCTATAAAATGTTCAAAGACTTTCGATCAATCTTTAAAATGTGTTTCAATTGGCTATGTTTAGAGTACGACGGGGGGAGCCAGTCATTTTTAAATTTCCATGGTTTGTTTCACTTATGATAGCTTCAGATTTTTTTTGCGCATTTTATAGAATAAAACATTGCCCGTAATATATATATATATATATATATATATAAATAAAATATAAATAAATGAATACTAAAAGGACTATCGTTTTAGGCAATCGTAAATCAAAGTCCGAATCTAATCTACTTCCTACAAAGAAAACTTTATCTTCTCGTTCGCTTAATGTTATTATTCCATTATCAGGAACGGAGAAAATGAATGAGACTATTGAAATAAGAAAATCTTTCGACAACTCAACTTGTGAAGAAACAAAAACAGAAAACAAATTTCAGAGAGAATTTAAAGAAAAGAATGTGGAAAATGTAACAAACTCTTATGAATACAAATTCGGAGGTACTTATAGGTCTTTGAATGATAGTAGTGATTCTTCGGTTAGTTCATCATCTCTTCGATCTGAAAACCTACTCTTTGAAGATTTTTCTCTAGACGGATTAGAACAATGTCTATATGAATTAGAACGTCCTGTCCTGATGGCTCCTATGAAATTGAAATTACCGTTAAATAAAGTTACATCATTGAGCAAAGAGCCATATCTTACAGAAGGAAATTTCAATGCAGCGAGTAATAATACATTGATTGATAATACGAAAAGTGAATGTAATCATGAACCAAAACAAGATGAAATGACGACAAATTTCGAAGAAGGCAGTTTAATTAAGAGAAATTGTAATATTGTAAGCCCTGATAATTATCTAAACAATATCGATAAGGAAATCTATTCGATCAATGGTGAAACGTATTTAATAGATAAATCAACACCAAATCGTTACTATAGGACATCTATGAACTTTAGTAATTTTTCTAATATTGATCAAGAAAATAATACGGAAATCCATGTACCTGCTGCATACTCAACACCGATGCGCATCGATTCGAAAGATAAAAGTAAGGTTCATAGATGCGATATACATTTCTATAATTACTATAGAGTAGTTTATTATTATTATATGTGAACAACTAAATTCTATTTATATATTACGTTTCCGCCATATAGATTTTTTCAAAATGAAATATAGAAATGATCAAAATGATATAAACGAGTCGCTCGTACAGCAATTTGCCAATTTAAAAATGTCCAAGACAAAAATACCTATATTTAGGATATACGAAGATCCTTTGAAGAAGATGAGAATAGGAAACGAATGGATAAAAAACGTCGACACTGAAAATAAAAACAATAAACTTTCGATTTCGCTTAGTAATTTAGAAAATGTTGTGTATACGAAAAGGAAGGAGAATAACTCTGAGTATTCCGTAACTAAAGTAGCACAGAAAAATAATACGGAAAAAGGTATTAATATTGCAAATAAAAGCGAAAAAGAAATCGTGTCAACGTCGTTGGATGGTGAAAATCAAACGTATGATAGCAAAGAGTTGGTCAAATTTGTGTGTTTTTATCTTATAATATATATTGTATAATATAAATATATTAATCAAATTTAAACTATTATTTCAGAAATTTTCATAAATTACAAGATTGTAAATTCGATCGTTTTAACTTGACTAAGTTGAATATTCAGAATGACGAAGTAATTGTCAAAGAAACAGAATTACGGTAATATGCAAGTGATTATAGAGAAAAAGAATATTTTTCATAATATTTTTCATCCTTATCTTTTTTCTTTATTTTTTATTTTTTTTCTAGTATTTGTCTAATTCATTATTTGAAAAACATTTTGATCTCACCATCGTGGCGTGTGCTCATTTTCTATTTACTGGTATTTCTTTTTGGATTCTATGCAGTGAGTGGTTTTTTATCAACGAGTATAAACGTTGGATCACCGTACAAATGGTGGTCGTTAGAAGAAATACTTAATGAATATTTTCCAATCGTAAACACGAGATTTCCGCCATTGTTATGAATATAAATATATTAAATCGATTTATATGTATATATATACTTATATATTCATATCAGCGGATATATGTAGTGTAAATATGCATTTAAACATAATAATTACATGTCACATAGGTATACATTGTATTATATTTAACACGGACGTTTGACTGCTACGTTGTTCGAATTCCAGAGACGTTTGTTTGTTTACTAATATTTGTCTACTACTTATGAAAGATCTTTCTAGGTATTTGAAAAGATATTAAAACAATGTCGTCGATTAAAATATTATTGACCCTTTTGTATATTTTGTGTGTATGTGTGTGTAATTAATAAAATATCCCATGAAAGCTCATTGTCGTCGTCGTCGTCGTCATTGTCGATCCGTTGGAATCGATCCTCGCGAAGTATCGATTATGCTTTTAGACGTTAACGCGAGGTGTTGCTGCAAAATATTTTGGAAAGATTGCAAAAATAAGCAAAAGAACTTTAAATATAAAAAGAAAAATTACACGTCAGATATGATAAATTTGACATTTTCACAAAATAATGTTTTCATATGGAACGCCTGCGGTAAAAACTTATTTTTTGTTATTATCGCTATGTTATTATGTTATAGGTTATAATATCTTAAATTACTTCATACATTTTATTTATTTATAACTGTGATGCCAAGTATAAAAGCTTCATTCAAATTGGAAAATAACGATTACAATAATATATTTTCTTTGTTTTCATTATCTTCCCTCTTCTCGTATTTTTAAAGATTGGTTAACACTGCGAAAGGAGCATAGGATAATTGGAGAATTAGTAGGTTGTCTTGCAAAATATCCTCGGCAAGAAGTACTTTCAGGTCTTCCATTGCTTTTATTTCCGGAAGAAGTTTCCCTTTTATTAGAAAAAGGAATTGCTCGTGTTGTTAAATATTCACACTTACAATACCCACCAAGTGAATCTTTAAAAGAAACTTTTGACCAATATAGGGAGATATTGTTTAAAGAACAAGAAAAGTGCTTAAAAGAAGAAAAAGAAAAACAGGTATTTTTCAAACTATATAAGCTTATAATGAATCTTTAAATATAATTATTAAATTATTATAGATTGAAGCAATGATGGATAAAATTGTGGAAGGAAAAAAACGAAAGATATTAGGTATGAAGACAAATAAAAAAAAACTACGAAAGCCTTTAGATAAAGATTCGCAGGAAGCGTTAAAAAATGTAAAATTAAATACTAAAGATCTCTTTGACGAACAAATGTCTAAATTACCTAAATTAGAAAAAAGTGAAGCACTTATACAGACACATACGGGTAGGTAATACAATGATATAATACAAAATGTTGACGGCATTGCATTTCGACCGTCGACCGATTTTTAATGCCAAATAAAAGTTGTCTTATAACTCTTAACTTTTTTTATTAGCATATCCACAATGGAATAAGGGTAACTTTGAAATAGTTCAATGGAAATATCCCAATACACCGCAAGAAAAACTTCGATATGAAACATTTAAAGACCTTTGGGAACGAGGATACTACATAACGACTGGAGAAAAATTTGGTGGTGATTTTTTATTATATCCAGGTATCTATTTATAGAGTTACTTTATGAAATGCGATAACTGCATTACCATTGAATCATTTATGAAGTGACTTTAAAGTGAAGAGACAATCTATAATTATTTCTATACATACGTGTATGTTCACAGGTGATCCTATTATGTTTCATTCTCAATTTATAATACAATGCAAAAACAGAAGCGAGGAAATACCAATTACAGAACTTGTTGGACAGTGTCGTACAGCAAGTCATGTTAGAAAAGTACAAGTATTTGCTACCTTTTCCGAAGATGGAAAAAGTGTAAAGTATCAATCATTTAAGTGGGCTGAAAACAATGGATTTGAAAACAGATAGCGAATGATTATGTAATAGTCTTAATTAATATTCATATTGTCATGTAAAGTAAATTTCTATACCTCCTAAACATCTGTTATTGTTGATTATTATTTTTAACTATGAAAAAATATGAAATAATTGCACTATTTACTTTAGATGTTTTCGCATTAAAATAAATGTTCTATAAAAATGACTCAACTAAATTCTATTAGTTTACGAATTCAAATAGTATTGATTAGTTTAAAACGATTGTGCTGAGGTTCGGGTATTACATTCACATGTTTCTTATAAATGGTTTGTCCTTCTCGATTTGCATAATTTAATCTCACCCAAGGATGATCCCAATTGAGATTAACCTTCTCGCAAGTTACCATCACGTTTCCTTTCTCCATAGCAAACAATGTTCCATTTTTTCCACAACCTACCTAAAGAAGAACATAATAAACATGGTACAATATTTGATCTATACTTTACAGTAAATAATTATAAAAAATAGTTTATTTACATTTAGCCCAGGATGAAATCTAGGTCTCAATTGAGTAGCGAGCATTTTTCCTGCCTGTACAAACTCACCATCGCTAACACGCAAACCTCTTAACTTTGGTCTTGTTTTAATAGTTTTATTTTTCGTACAGCTGCCTGCTTTCTTTGATGCATACCTGACACATTCTATTTAAAGAGAAAAAAAAGAAATAAACAAAATGTCTTGGTTTTTCTGATCTTTTACTTCAGAATAAACATAACCTTAAGAAATTCACAACTTACCCCAATTAATAGCATTTGAATTTAATCCAAATTTGGTTACTTTTTGTGAAATGGATGAAATTATATTGGAAACAAGTGCCATTATAAATTTATATGACTATATTTGAAATGTACAGAATGCTTTATTTGTTATTTTTATATGACAATATGTATCAAAATAAATATGGATATATATATATACGTAACGCCATCTGTGTATTAGGATATAAGAATAAAAAAGAAATAATGTTACTCTACATCTGAAAGCTAGCATGTTTTATCATAAACTACAATAATTAATATATTAACTCTCAATATACATACATAACGATTGATTTAAACGATGGTTTACATAAATCGCTGCCAAACTTGGAATCGTTATTGGACGTAATGTGCTTTGAAGATAAATATATTTATCTAGTATGCTATAAGAGTCAACTTTGTTTGAAAAGAAACCATTCAGGTTCTGATTCCTCTGATCAGGAAGGAAACAATAATTAATAATGACAATAATGACTTAATATGCATGTATATATATATATATATATATATATATATATATATCCAAAAATACAAATATTACACAATAATTATTACTAATAAAAGTATTAATTTTTATTTACATAATTACTGCGTAAAATAATTGATGATATTTATAACTTTTTTTTTTTAGTACTAGAGAGAGTAATTAATTTCACCCTTCGTGGTGCCTTTTCCTTTTTAGATATTACAGAAGGTGTATCTATTTTAACAGATATATTACTTTTACTTGCTTTTGTGTCATTATCGCTTTCTTCATTAAAAACTAATTTAATATCTTCAGTTTCTTCCATAGTTTCATCATTTTGACTTTTGTATCGATCTTTGTGCTCCGATAAATTATTATCATTTTGTTCCATTTGCTCATTATTTTGATAACTAGTTTTTTTACATTTATCATCTAAACTGCGCTTTGTTATTTCTTTATTATATTTTATAACATCAACATCCATTGCATTATTATCTATATCGAGAATCAAAGTACTATCTTTCGTATCAATTTTAGTAGATTTCGTAATAGCTTCACTATTATTACTATTTCTAAGTTGAGATTGGGTCATTGTTGCACCTTTACTATCATCATACACATGGCCCAGTTCATTTTTGGAAAAATGTATTATCGAACAATAACCATCCGTAGAAGATACAACCAAGATATGTCCATCACTAGACCTATAAAGAAAAATTTGAAAAATTATATACATTTGTAATACTTGCGAACAACAATAATTTATATTCAATGATAAAATCTTTTACAGACCATGCAATGTCAGTCAATCTAGTGTAATGAATATTAGATATTACAGCTATTGGAGAAATTTGTTGAGTGTCGTAAATTAATATCGAATGTTGTGTTGCAACCGCAAATATTATTCTATAAGGTAATGCTATCATAGGAGTGGGTCCATCTTTTCTGAGTTCAAAATAAACAGGACAACATCGAATTGCTATTGTAGATTCATCCAAAGAAGGTAATATCATTATTGGTCTAAAAATAAATACAAATATTGTTATAATAGAGGATTGCGTTAGTGTTGCTTCTTTGGAAAATAACGCATATTTATGTATTCAAATACCAAAATACTCAACTCTTTTAAATTATGCCTTGAAAAGATAATCGTTGCATTTGATGTCTTTTCTATGGTATCTTGTGGTTCTATTATACCAGATGGAACAATTATTAATATTCCATCTATGGAGAAGGTTAGTCTTCTAAAAAATGATTTAAATGTATCGTCATAGAATAATCTAACTGTTTTGCCTCGTAAAGGATAATCAGGTGGTGTAGGAATATTAGACTTATGAACACGCTGTACCGTCTTTTTTGTAGAGATATCAACTAATCTGCACTGCCTAAAATAAATCAAATAATTCATTACAATTAATTGGTTGTAAAAATCATTGAAGGATTAAACTTAATGGGAAATATTATAACAGATTTGTAGATACCTATCGCTACTTATTGTACATATATATTGGTTACAAGGATCCCAGCTAACACCTTGCACAAATCCTTTTGAATCTGATAATATACCATTGCTACGACCTTTATTAATATCCCATAGAATTGCTGTGTTATCTACAGAACCAGATACTATGGAAGAAGAATCTGGCGACCAACAGATATCATAAACATCTTCTAAATGGCCTTTCAACACTTTCCACGAACTCCATTGTTCTTTATTCTCATTGTCATCGGGAGAGGTAAAAAAGTCACATTCCTCCTTCTGCTTCCATAAAATGATGATAGATTCTACAGAAATAAAAAACAAGTCCTTGTTTATTTTCTATAATTTCATTTCATTTCATTTTATTTCAATTTCTACTTGAATAATAGTATTTTAAAGAAGCAAAATACCATCGTCTGCTGAAGCAAGAATTTCTCTAGATGGTGAAAATCTGACAACATTTACTGCTTTTTGATGTCGTTCCAAATCTGCTACACATTTGATCGTTGTCGCACTATTTTCGCATGTCAAAACATGCCAAATCTAAATATAATTTTGTATATAACTCATTTTTATTATTCATCTAATCGTTTAATTTATCTAATTAATTTTTAATAATTTTACCAAAACATGGGAATCTGCTCCTCCAGTAGCTAGACGCCAAAACTTTTCACTTGTATTACTTTCATCACAGGGTTTATTTTGTATGTCGATGCTCAAAACTGGATCTCGATTATGCCAAGAAATTTCTGGAGTAGTACACTTCATCTCTTAAACGTTAATAATTCATTTAATCTCTAAAAAAACTTAAAAGCCCAAGGGTAACATTGATCTCTATAAAGGATTATACCGCCAAATCCAAAACACAAGGATTATATTAACTATCCAAGATAGGCAATGATATATTCAAAATAGAGACGCAAAAGGATTATGATCAAACCCCAGTGCTACCAATATCCGTTACAATTAACTCGAGACCCAATGTTCCTAGTACATTTATCTGTTCTATGTACATATATTTTCTATGAATTATTTTTATCAATCCAATTAATATTATCAAATACGCGTTAATTGATTAAGTTAAGCGATTAAGTTTATTATTAGATGTACATAATCATATTCATATACTACTAATTATATATTAGAGAAAAGATTGTCCAATTATATTAAAGAACAGTTAACACAATTAGGTCTTGACGATACTTTTGTCAAAACGTAATATAAAATTTAATACGTATTTACTACGTTATTAGGTCTCTGAATAAGAAGAAAACGAGCTACAATCTGTGAAAAAAAATGTTTACCTTTATAAAAAATGTTTCAAGGATAGAACAAGGATTTAAGGTTTATGGTACGTTGTTATGTTTTATAAATAAAGAATTTACTTCTTTTTAGCAAAATAGTAAAATCTTTAACATATACAAAAAATTAAATGATAAATCACATCGTTTCTGACTGCAGCAAAACTCAAAGCTCAAAGTTCAACATAAAGCATATTTATGGTTATAGCTATATGGTGTGTGTGTGTGTGTGTGTTGTGAAAATTTAAACATTTAAATGAATTTAATTATTGGGTATCTTTCTTTTTATAATCAAATACTCGTGAAATTATAATGATTAGATTGTCTTTACTAGACTTATTATTATAAAGTAATGAACTCTTATATGCTACAGGTTCTATCTACCCAAGATCCTGGGAAATCCAGATAAATAAAAATTATACAACAAAATATGATTCAAGTTCGAAAAACATAGTATTTGTGGACGGTGTACGTACACCTTTTCTTCAATCTGGAACACAATACAAAAATCTTTTGTCGTACGATCTTGCTAGACATTCTTTATTGTAAGTATTCTTATTTAACAATTAAAATACTTTTCCTTCTTTATTTGATTAATTTCTTTATTTTAGGAGTCTAAAAAGAAAGATAGGTTTTCCTAATGAAGCTATAGAATATATTTGTTATGGTACCGTAATGCAGGAAGTAAGAACATCAAATATTGGTCGTGAAGCAGCTTTAGGCGCTGGTTACAGCCAACATACACCAGCGCATACAATTACAATGGCTTGCATTAGCAGTAATCAAGCTATAACCACTGCTATGGGTTTAATTGCATGTGGTACTTATGACGTGATTGTGGCTGGAGGAGTTGAATTTATGTCAGATATACCGATAAGGCATAGTCGTCCTATGAGAAGCTTGATGTTACAAGCCAATAAAGCAAAGTCTATCGGACAAAAATTGTCGCTTTTAGGATCCATTAGGCCGTCACATTTTGTACCAGATGTTAGTTGCAATTATCTTCTTCCTTATATCCTTTTCGTAATTATACATAAAAATTTTCAAAATTATAAATCTATTTTCAGTTGCCAGCAGTGGCAGAATTTTCTAGCGGTGAAACAATGGGACATAGCGGAGACCGTTTAGCAGCAGCATTTGGAATAACACGAAAGGAAGAAGACGAATATGCATTGAGATCTCACACGTTAGCTGCGCAAGCACAGAGACAAGGATATCTTACAGATGTAGTACCTTTTAAAGGTATGTAAGAGAGAAAATAAAATTTTACTTTTATAACGTTAGTTCTATAGTTCCAGGCATAGAAGAAGTAGTAAGCAAAGATAACGGAATACGCGTCTCAACGCCAGAACAATTGGCAAAATTGAAACCAGCGTTTGTTAAACCATATGGGACTGTAACCGCAGCTAACTCATCCTTCTTAACTGATGGTGCATCTGCAGCTTTAATAACGACAGAAGAAAAAGCTCGTTTATTGGGTCTCAAGCCGAAAGCATATTTACGAAACTTTACTTATGTATCTCAAGATCCAGTCGATCAATTACTCTTAGGTCCTGCTTATGCCATTCCCAAGGTTTATAAATATATAATGTATGCATACAAAAAGACACCACATATAAAGACATATAACATTTACGAATTTACAGGTATTAGAAAAATCAAAGTTAAATGTAAAGGATATAGGTGTATGGGAAGTACACGAAGCATTCTCTGCACAAATATTAGCTAACCTTAAAGCTTTGGATTCCGATTGGTTCGCTCAACATTATTTAAAGAGAAGCGGAAAAGTAGGTGTTCCAGAGCTTCAAAAGTGGAATTCATGGGGTGGATCTCTTTCAATTGGTCATCCGTTTGCTGCTACAGGAATTCGTTTAGTCACTCATACTGCCAACAGGCTTATCAAAGAAGATCAACAGTTTGGATTAGTTGCTGCATGTGCAGCTGGTGGACAGGTAAATTTAAATAATACACTCGTATCATTTTCTTTTACTTTTGTAAAAATGATCGAACTATTATATTGTATATGTATATTGTTTTAGGGAGTGGGGATGATCATCGAGAAACATCCTGATGCTAAAGTTTGATATAAATAAATCGTGCTATATATATAAAAGAAATTAACGTTAACACGAATATTGTACAGACAAATATTTTTATATTATATTATCTGTTGAAATATTTCTTCTTCCTTTTCATTTTCTTTTATTTCATATTGATATTTCTCTTATTCTCTCTCTCTGTCTCTCTGTTTTTTAGAGAGAGCATGAGCATGTCTTCCTTTTTCTATAATACATTTTATTACAAAATAAAATAGAATATTAGAACAAATAAAAAATATTTCTTTACTTTATCCTAATCCAATGTAACATTACACAATGACGGAAGCGAATGTATCGTTAAGTTATGTCTTACGGCACAATCTAAGATCGTTCTTATATCTTGACATCCAAGCAAAGCGCGCTGTTTTAATGATTCCAAATGTGATAAATGTAACCTTTGACCTGCTCCTTGCGCAACAACTATAAATCCAGAATTTTTGGATGCATTATCATTATTTGTTTCAGGTAATGCAACGATAGATAAAGTTACACCTGATGCACATTCTTCTATAAAATTTGCATCCAATACACCGGTATTACTGACAGCCTTTTCCTCTCCATCCGTATATGAAGAATTGACTAATGTTATTGTACATCCTATCGCATAATTCTAAAGGGAGATTGAGAAGAAAAAGGGAAACATAAATATATGTATATATAATATAAGCGAGATACATATAATGACTTATTCCAATAATGATTTACCTTTATAGGTATTCCAGCATCGATCAGTGCCAAAGTTGCTGCATTAACAGATACGCAGTAATCACTTCCATCGACTTGTAAAACTTCCACAAAAATATCTATCTGTGAGCGTGGATACAATTCCAAATGTATTATAGCTTCCATTGCACGACGTAATTCAAGAGATCTTTCTTGTGATTTACGATCACCTCGTGGTCTACGTTTACGTTCCCCAGATGTGAAGCTAAATACTGCTACGCTATATTGACAATTTACAACAGCTTTGCTACTGTTACTACCACTTCTTCCTGTGCCTTTAGGCTGCAAAAAATTGGAAATTTTTTGTTATTCATATTTTTTTTCTTTTTGTTTTTTCAATGTAGACGCTTTATTTATGTTTTATACGATTCATTTTAGAAAAGTAATAATTAAAATTGTTGAAATACCTGATGAGGTCCGTACACTGCCACCAAAATTTTGGTTTTACCTTGCTCTATATAAGCACTTCCATCAGCTTGGCCAAAAACACCCATTCTTACGCGAATTTTTCTCAATTCTAATGGACGTCTACCATCTACGCGCAAACCACCTTGATCTACTTCAATATCTTGTTCTATCATTTTATTTAATATTAATTTTTGTGATAATTTTGGATTTTCAAATTGAAATGATTTCTATATCTATAGTTGAATGTACCCCGTTATTATTACATATATGCCCGATATAAACAGATGTAACATACATCTCATACCATGCACGCACGCACGCAAAAGCACATGTATATTAGTTTACTAAAAGGCATCGATAAAGTGAGATATAGAAGGCATTGGTTGTCCGTGGGTTGTATGCTCCGTCACTCCAGCACTAACAATATAAGATAATCAGTTTTTTGTTTTTTTGATATTTCCTAAACTGTTTAGTTACATTTCAAAAGTAAGACAAATGGCCGAAAAACCTAGTAAGGTTAAATGTCGTTAACCCAGTCGTTTACTTTGACAAGCAAACGCGTGATATCTGTTTTAGGTGGTATAGCAAACCTTGACGCAAAAAGTAAGCTAATAGTAAAGCGACTGAAGCATAGGAAAATGGTTAAATATCTAAATCAATCGGAAGCGATCAACATTGATAAGGATCTATTTGAAAAATATAAATTTAGCGTGGATCAATTGATGGAATTAGCTGGTCAAAGTTGTGCCATAGCAATTGCCAAATCTTATCCATTGTTGGATAATTCTGCAAACAGAATTTTAGTTTGTTGCGGACCAGGAAATAATGGTGGCGATGGACTAGTATGCGCTAGGCATTTGAGACATTTTGGTTATTCTCCTGACATTTATTATCCGAAAGAAACCAAGAACCAATTGTACACAAATTTGTTGCATCAATGTAAAGAAAATGATATAACCATTTTAGGAAATGAATTTACAAAAAATAAGCATGTCGTTGATTCTTTAAATGAATACAGAATTATAGTTGATGCTTTGTTTGGATTTAGTTTTAAACCTCCTGTAAGAGATATTTTTGTTCCTATTATGGAGATATTGAAAAGAACATCTATCCCTATATGCAGCATAGACATACCTTCGGGATGGGACGTTGAAAATGGTCCATCTGAAAAGGATGATATATGTCCAGAAATGTTGATATCCTTAACAGCGCCAAAAATGTGTGCCCAGAAGTTTAAAGGAAAGTTTCATTATCTAGGAGGCAGATTTGTACCTGGAAAGTTAGCAATAGCTTACAATCTTAATTTGCCAACATATCCAGAGACAGATTTAATCGTATCTCTGTAAAAATAAAATTCTATAGCAATTAACAATTTTTGTGCAATATTTTATATAGATTAATGTAATAAATCTTCTCCTTTACGTTCTTGAAATGATCAGCATCGGTATATTACAAATTATTATCCAATAACATCTCTAAGTAATTTAAAAAAAAATACATAAATGAATTAGCGATATTAGCAAAATCGCGTAAAACGAGACAGACGTAAAGTAACGATAATGTTACATTTATGTATAATATTATCTACCCGTTTCACTTTATGCTCATTTGATAGGTTTGAATATGCGCTACGTATCGGCGCCACGGCGCAACATCAATTTAGTTTCAAATCTGAGTATCGACTATTTAATGGTTCATGTGTTCTATGCGCGATACATCTCTACATATTACGTACGATAAAGAATTTTTTTAGGGCAGCGGCAGATTAGTTGCTGTCGTTTACAATTGATTGTATCGATTATCACATCGAATTAAATAGTCTATTTTTTAACAGAAACTCCTTCGATAAATAATTGTCTACTTATTGTGGTATGCTAAAAGGAACATTATAAATTGACGACATGGTAATAACTTAATAATTAATTTCACATAAATAAATAAGATTATATATAATAATATATTCATGAATATTCATGAAAAAATATAAATATTAATTTGTTGTTGTTTAAGGCACAAGAAGTCGAGGAAACCATGAAACGTATACAATCTCACAAGGGCGTTGTTGGATCCATTGTAGTAAATGCAGAAGGTTTGTATTTGTTTTGATGTTGTATTAAATGATCTTTTATCTGAAGATTTTTATTTTTACAGGTATTCCGATTAAATCGACTTTGGATAATACAACGACAGTGCAATACGCAGGCCTGATTAGTCAGCTGTCAGACAAAGCACGTTCTGTTGTTCGTGATCTGGATCCTACAAATGATTTAACTTTCTTACGTGTTCGTAGCAAAAAACATGAAATAATGGTTGCTCCGGATAAAGAATTCATTCTAATAGTTGTACAAAATCCAGTTGATTGATATTTGCAGAGCGGAATTATATATTACAATCCTTTCCTTTTAGGTTTTTACCAATTATTTTATTTTTTATTTAGTATATTACACTTATTATTAACAAATTTATTACCATATTAATTTATTGATTAGGTATTTATTAATTGAGAGCATAAAAATATATAAAGATATAAATTTATTTATATTAAAATATAAATAAAATTGATTAGAAAAATATAAACACATTAGATACAATATATAATTATCATTATATACGTTTAAAAAATTAGCTTAACTTATACGTAAAATGTGGCTTATTGTTGTCTCTTAGATAACTAATAAATGAAAATCTTATGTGGTCCTTTTATAAAATATTACTTAATGTCATGTTTATCTTCCTTATCTGATTTTTAATTTTAATTCTTACTTTTAACACCACTTCTTAATAATTACGGAATTTTTGATGTTCTTCTCTTATATATCTAAATATTATCAAATGAATAATAATTTATTATAGAATATTACGCGTGTTTATCTCTAACAATGAAATATAATGTAATGTAAAGCTATAGCTATCTATCTAAACATTATCAAAAATCAATCTTCATTTCTTAAGCTCGATTGCGGTTGATTTTTTTTACCTGGGTGATAACGCGTGTAATAAAGAATCATGGCAGTAATACCTAATAAGAAAGATACTGTGCAAGGAAAAATGTATATAAAAAAGTACCAAGAATTTTTTGCTTCTATAGATAGATTTAACATCCAAAGAAGATTTGCAATAACATTCTCGCAAAAACATAAGCCATAAAAGAATATATGTTTTAAACGAGTATTGCCGTCTATAACATTTAAATATACAAATATGTGGACTAGACCAATAACTAATGCAAGAAGCATAGAATAAATTCGTTCTGTTATCGTTGGTGCAATATGTGGTGCACGATTATTTTTACGACAAAATTGTAATATACCATGAGAATCGACCAAGATCCAAATTGTCATGATAATCCAATGACAGATACAAGCGATAGCAGTGTATAATGGCCATATACTAGCAATGAAACTCACCATTAAAATTCTTGAGACTGTAATCAAATGACGAAGTGAGAATGATATTTTTTTTATAATCGATAACTAATACAACTTATTCCTTAGTAAACATACCTGTAATACAAAAATGCCACAAAAATTGACATATGTTACCTTGAATACTTATTATTTCCTTATCGAATTGAGCTAATCGAATACTGCGATTATAACTTGCCATTGCCCAACCCATACTGGCTAAGGAACTAATAATACTTCCAATTTGATGTATAACTAGAAAAAAAAACGGAAAATAAAAAAAGAGATAATATAGACCTACCATACTATGCAGTGCCTTTAAATAATCAAAGATAATTGTAAAAAAAAAATACATTCAAGATTAATGTCGCTGTTATAATGCTTCAATAAAATAGTTAATTGTAAAACTTGCTGAGGTGCTGCTTCAAGAAAACATTCAAATATTCTCAAGAGTGCAACATCTTGATCTTCCTTCAGCATTTTTAAATAATATCGTTTTTGGCCATTCCTATCTCCTATTTTTTCACAATTACGTGCCTTCAAAGCATAAATCAAAGTATCGTAATAATGTACCACGGGTGCTAATTGGAAAACCACTGCCAAGATGCAACATATTCTCTTTCTTCTCATCATTTGCGCAGACTTATGATTTTCTAATTGCATCAAGTCTGAATCTAACTGCAATAAAAAAAAAATATGTAAATATAAAGAATCAAGATATGTAATAGGGATATAATCATTTTATTTACCTCTTCATCTTGATGTTGCATTCTTCTGCTAATAATTACATTTATGAAAGATGGAATAAGTAGAAAAAAAAGAGTACAAATAAAATATATTATTTTATTTGCCAGTAAATATCTTACCGCGATGTTAATATCAAATGCCATGTCAATTAAATGCATTATAATCGAACAGATTAAGAAAAATATATCTAAATTGGATACGCATGGTTGTCTTAGAGGAATAGTATCCACGTCGTCGAAATTAAATTTTAAAGCTGGAAAAATACCGCCGATATACAAGATATGTTGTCTTTTATCATTTCTTTCTTCCATCATTTTATTACGATTGAATAACCTCAAAAGTTAACTTTTGTACAAATAGATATCACACTGTATATGGACATGCATTCATGGTTCATGAATTATATTATAAGTACAATTGTCTCATTTGTCTAGAATTCAACTTGAAAGAGAGATTCTTGGTACATGTTTTTTATACATTGTTTATATTTTTCTCCTCCATCTATCTGTCTTTTTCTCTCTCATAACCTCATTTTCTTAGAAACATGAACGTTTTGAATGATTACAAATGGACGTAGGTCCATGGTAAGATGTAGGAAAACTTTCATTGGACAGTTCAAGTTGGCGTATATAATAGAAAAAACCGCTCATTACAAATTGGAAAATATTTTGGGATGAACATACATTTATGTATCATCTATATTAATCAATATATAAAATATATATCTTTTCTGTATGTAATATTTTAGATTGTTTTAAATGAAACAAACAAAAGCAACAGCAACACCTATTACACGTAATTAAACGTAAAACGTTGGTTTAAGTTTAATATTAATTTAAACAATAAATATAGAAATAATTAAAGATATATATATATAAAAAAAAAAAAGAAAAAGAAAGCAAAAAGGAAAATTATGGCCGCACAAGTTATGTGTTTAACATCGTCGGGAGGAATTCCATTGTTTTCTCGTCAAAAGGGAGATAAAGAAATGGTTTGTCTTTGTGTATTATATTTAAAACTATTTACTATTGCTTATTTAACCAGTTTAATCTCTTTCTAATTTCTTTTTAAAATATTTGTAGATAACTTTTTCTAAAATGGCATCTCTAAATGGCGTCCACATGTTTCTAAAAACACAAAATATGAAGCTGTTAAATACAGATCTACCAGATACAACTATAGTTTGGAAAGAATATGAACAAAGTATTATATTAATCATTATTGCAAATGGTGCAACTAAATATACTTTAAATAAATTTCTTGATGTTGCCTTTGGTGCTATGGTCTTATTCGTCGGTATAGATGAAATAAAAAATGCCAAAAATATAGAACGCTTGAAAAAAGATTTACGCGGATGTAATCCGATTATAGATAGGCTCTTGGAGTGTTTAGATATCGGAGATCGAATTTGCACCAAGACAGATATCATTAATATGACGGAGTGTATAATTTTATACGAGAATCATCTGTTACAGGTACATGCAATTAATGATGTATTAAATATACTGTATTAAGTATCATTGGATATAATTTCTACATATCATAATAAAACTTCTTCAAGACTTATTTAGAGGGATACATAGAATGTTTAGATTCAATGTACGGATGCGTTCTGGTACATGGTTGTTTAGCTGTAGCTACCAATGGATGGTGGTCTTTAGATCCTATAGAAAGAAAATTATTAATAATGACAATAGCGACTGAAACTAACTACACGGCACGTGATTTACCTATTTTTTTACCTTATAAAAGCCCTAACGTAAGTTTTTTTCTTTTATTTTCATACACATATCATTACAGATTTAAATCTAATACTAAATCTAACACTACTAGTGTAGTCTAATAAAATAAGAATTGAATCTTATAGTAGTTTACTTGTTCTTTTTTAGATAGCTTTTAGATTAGTATCCATTACTTTAATAAATCATGTAGAAGTGGTTGCTTTATGTGGACCAAACCCAGAGTTATCAGAGATCGAAAGATATGCTGTGCAATATTGGAAAACAAGTATGGATATTTTACGTAATTCTGAGCAATGTTATCCTAGAAACGTACCTGCAGCTATCTCCTTGGATATTAATGCATTAGGGTAATATTTATTTATTTGTTGAGAGAAAAAAAGAAGTATTTTTTTTCTTCATTAATTACTATTTTTTTAGATTCTTATTAGCAAACTGTAAGGTAGAGAAATTTGTGCTTGGTAGAAATGCACAAAGCACAAAAAATCGTGTCACAGGAACACACAGATTAGACATTTTGAGAACATTTTATCATCAGGCAATAGAAATATTTATGCTTTCATCTGAATGTGAAGAAGATAACATAGAAATAATGGACTTGGAAAGTAAGTGGAAATTTGTGGGTGCCAAGGAAACTTATCTATGCTCGGAATACCATAAATGTCATGCTCTAAAAGATGGAGATCACATACTCTGTGTCTTATATTCATCTGTAGTACCTACTCACACTATGAGATTGATTACTGATAAAATTTTGAAAGTGTTATTAATTGATAAACAAATCTGCTGGTAAAGAAATAAGATATGTTTTGCATATCTGCAATTATGTTATGCAGTATTATTCGTATAGAAGTTGTCAAAAAATATACAACAACTGTGCAATGAATACCGTACATTGCAGTTATTTACTTTAAAATAAATAATGTGAAAAGAGGGTTCTTAAAGTTGTGTTAAGTAAAATCATAATCATAACCATAATCATGTGTACAAGTGCATCCTGTACGCAGGTAGGATCGGTTTTGATAATCCAGTTGATAACTGGATATCTTTGATAAAGACGCTTTTACCGGTTGAGATATATTGATCACTTTTTTACCAAGTTTAGCACTCCTTGAGTAGCCGTAGAGTGCACTAGTGTTCTAATCTACCATCTTGCAATGTGATCTTGCGAGACGAAATCAGAAAAAAGAACAAAAACTATCAGCTAATGTAACTAAAAGAAAAGGAACAATTAATAGTGGATTAATACTGGAGTTTATTATACGATATAAGTATATTAAATCTATAGAAAAATGTTAGCTGCATCATTCAAATTATTACTCAATGCGAAGAGAGTAAGTAGAAAAATTCATTAAAAATGATTAAACTAAAACGTTCATGATTGTTTTTTTAAAATGTCATACTTATGAGATTAGTTATTATTATAGTGTTATGATTGAATATTGAGCGAGCACACCAATGTGTGTATTTTATATAAATATTTCTATAAAATAAAGAGATTTTCCTATAAATAAGAGATATTTTTTGATTTTGTTTTTGTTCTCTTAGGTTAATTCATTAGCTCGCCTTAAATCAACGTTAGTTATAGCAGAACACAATAATGAAGTATTGTCATTGATAACGTGTAACACGTTAAGTGCAGCTAAACAAATTGGTGGTGATATCACCGTTTTAGTTGCTGGAACAAAATGCGATGCAGTAGCAAAGGCCATAAGCAATGCGAATGGTGTCAACAAAGTTCTTTATGCAAATAGCGAGGCATTTAAAGGATTTACTCCAGAAACATTGACGCCACTGATATTAGCGATGCACGATCAAAATAAGTATTCCCACATTTTAGCCGGTGCTAGTGCTTTTGGTAAATCATTATTACCAAGGGTAAGTAAATTTGATACATTCTATATATTTGATACAATCTTATATTAATTCTAATCTATTCAATTAAATGATGTTTCAGGTAGCAGCAAAATTGGATGTTTCGCCGGTAAGCGATATTATTGGTATTAAAGGTCCGGATACTTTTATTCGCACTATTTATGCTGGCAATGCTATACAGACCATTAAAGTAAAAGATAATGTCAAAGTTGTATCAGTGAGAGGTACTTCGTTTGAACCGTTGCCCCTGGAAGGTGGTAATGCAACTTGTGAACTGGTTCCACCAAGTGATTATAAAACGAATCTGGTTGAATTTATTAAGCAAGAAATTAGCAAGAGCGATCGACCTGAATTGACATCGGCTAAAGTAGTAGTTTCGGGAGGACGAGGTTTAAAGTCAGGTGAAAATTTTAAACTACTCTATTCCTTGGCTGATAAACTCAATGCTGCCGTTGGTGCTTCAAGAGCTGCCGTTGATGCTGGATATGTGCCCAACGACTTGCAGGTTGGACAGACGGGAAAGATTGTTGCACCTGTATGTATTCAATTAGTGTATATTTATTTATTGACATAATATTAATAATTTAAATGTACTACAAATAAACTTATCATTTTGTTTTAGGATCTGTACATAGCAGTGGGCATTTCTGGAGCAATTCAGCATCTTGCTGGTATGAAGGATTCAAAGACAATCGTTGCTATCAACAAAGATCCAGAAGCCCCAATTTTTCAAGTAGCGGATTACGGATTAGTTGAAGATTTGTTTAAAGCTGTGCCAGAATTTACAGACAAATTGAAATGAATATTTTATTATAGTTTATTATACTTTTGTAAAAATTGATAATTTTAAGCCAGTAAGAAGTAAATAGTAACGTACGGAGAAAAGAAAAAGAAAGAATATATATAGATATATTTTTTATATTTATATTTATCGAATTACAATACATATATGGGAAATATATTTTGTGCAATATACAATGATAAGCGTACTTTCTTATTCTGCGATATTATTGTAACAGTGTTAATAGATATTAGATGGAGCGCACAAGTCGCGATTTAATTGAGTCGATTATTAATTCGACAAAAATGATACAGATGGCAATACTTTTGACAATAATGACATAAAGCCTCGCATGGCTCTACTGGCGCTGTATATTCATTGTTATAAGCCAGTCTAGAACGGGAGATAAATAAAGTGTTTATATGAATTTACGTTAGAAAATATTAGAGTTTTGTTGTTTTTTAATAATATTTGAGTTTAAATATTGTTTTATAGAATAAAAAAACTCTAACTATGTCAATGGTAAAGTTATTTCGTTCGAAAGAAATATTTCCTAACCGCTATGTTTAATTGTTGACAATGTTAGTAGTTTGTAATTTGTATTATTTATTTTCAGAGACCCGACGATCACAGAAGAAAATGGAACAGAGAAGAATACGAACGAATAGCTCTTCAGAGGCTCCAGGATGAAATTGCTGAAGAGGAATTAGGTATCCCGAAACAGCCAGCAGTAAAGAGAGAATTACTTAAACAAAGGGATTATAAGGTCGATTTAGAATCTAAATTGGGAAAAAGTGTTGTTATTAATAAAAATACTCCATCTTCACAAACAGGAGGGTGAGGATCAAATAAAGTGGAATATTGTCCTTTTCTATGTCCCTTTGACATAATATTACTAATTAATATTAATCACGATATTATTACGTTTCCAGTTATTATTGTAATGTGTGCGATTGCGTTGTCAAGGACTCGATCAATTTCCTCGATCATATTAATGGAACGAAACGTAACTATTGTTGCATGCATATAGTCATTAAATATGTTATCACAATATGTTATATTTAATCATTCCAATTGTTAACAGATCAGCGTAATTTGGGTATGTCAATGAAGATAGAACGTTCTACGCTGGAACAAGTTAAAGCTAGATTTGCTCTTAATAAAAAGAAATTAGAAGAGAAGAAAAAAGATTATGATTTGGAGCAAAGAGTGAAAGAATTAAAAGAAGAGGTTTATTTTTGTTGTTGTATTTAACCAATTTTAATATCTTATAATTCTAAATAATGAATGATCAATTGAATGATGCTCTAACGATACTGTATCTTATTAAGTTATATAAATATTATCTTATTATTTACAGGAAGAAAAGATTAAAGAATATAGAAAAGAAAAGAGAAAAGATAAAAAGAGGAAATTAGACGAAGTCGACGAGGAAGATGCCGGACCGTCGGATGATATGGCTGCTATTATGGGATTTTCTGGCTTTGGCTCAAAAAAAAAGTGATCATAACTTTGACACAGACATTCGTGAAAAAATGTCTTACCATATACGTACCTACAGCACCATCAGAACAATTATTTACTTTTATTTGACTAAAATAATAACCAATTGAAATCTGGTCGTTATATCAAGTTTTAATTCAATCGTAGTAAATCGTTAGTAAACTTTTCTATACGAAATGAGACCAACATATCGATAAAATTAAAAATGAAAAAAGAAAAGAAAACAAAATAATATTTGTAATTTCTCGTACGTAATATATGAAATGGATCTAAGCAGGACTGATTTAAAAAAAAATAAGTCTTAAGAGAAAAAGGAGGGAGGATATATATCTGTATATCCGTATATACAGATTGTTTTTGAAAATGTGGGAATAACTTCGGGGATAGATTTAATACGCTGAAATAAGAAATGAAGTTGATATGAACATATACCATGTAAACAGGTAACAGGGAACAAATCCTTGTATATATATATATATATATTTATTTATTCAGGGATAAGTGAATATGAATATATAGTATACGCAATTTTGATCATACGATTGTTCAAACTAATTGTAAACGAGCATAGGGTTTATTTTCGGGAAAGAATTAATTCTATGTGCATGGGCGAAAAAGAAATATTTAGTTATAATAGTTTCTCATAGGAGAGAAATATCGAGGCGAAGTTTTAGTAATATGCTCTGTTACAATTACTCGATTTTAATAATTTAATATCGAGATTATACCACGTTCTTTAACCGTAACTATCCGTTTGGCGATCGGTAATGTCGGCAAGGCAGGAAATGTGTGGAGATGTTTGAAATTAAAAACAATATAGATTGAAAGTGCGTTACAATAAAAATGAAAAGGATATACGCATTGAGTTTCTTTCTTCCTTTCTCTCTTTAATAATCGTCCTCCGAAGGCGATAGCATCTGTACAAGTTTAAAAGAGAGGTCTCTTAAGAGCTAAGGAGGAAAAGAAATAGCGAGAGGAGAAGTGGAAGGGAAAAGAGAACGGTTAAAGGAGAAAGATTCTCTCTCGGGGAAGGTACTCACCGAGAAGATTCTTCTTTCTAGTCTTCCAAAAGCATTGCGCGCCGAAAGATCATCATCACCATCACCATCACCATCACCATCACCATTACCTCTATAAATTCCCCTATACTTAGTAGCGATTGCGTAGACATAGTCGCGTTAGAATATTAACAACGACCTTATGTACTTTACGCCTTTTTTTATTTGTCCTTTTGATAATATTAGCAGTATCACGCGTTACATGACTCGATTTCGATCGACCGAATAAACAGAAGTGCATTGTTTGTGCATCGTTTTTGCGTCACGCGAACTGAGATTCGAACTTTTAATTTGTAATTACAACTTTTACTTTGCATTTTTTAATAGGAATAAGATTTCTCTTTTTCTTTTTATGTGTGTGTGATTATAAAATAATTATATTAAAATAAACAATCAATATTAGTAATATTAATTTCGTAATAAACAAAATATGAGCGGCGTGAATAATCGAATTTGAAGATTCATTAGAAATGTAAATTTTTGCTAAAGATTTGCTTGCAATTAATTAAGAGATATATACATATGTGAAAAAGGCAATATGTCGGAAGCAGTAATCCTATCCACGTTACAAAATTGTATTCTACGAAAACGAAGAAGGAAGAGTGAATCAATGGAATAGTATCTGTAATCTAAAGACGAAATTAAATCCTTTCGAAAATGTCGCGTACGATGCTGCAGCCTATCGAGGAATCCATGTCTGGTAAATCAGGTAATTACTTATTTTAAATGTTTCTTTTTTTCTATACCAATATACATTGATTTCAAAGTTGTTTCATTTCTTTATTACATATTTACATATTGAAACCATAGGATGCTTATTGCCATTTTCGACGAGATGCGTCGACGTAGTACACTTTCCCTTTTCTTTTCCGCGGAAGTGAAAATGATCGGTTGTGAAAGAATCGTTTATTTTAAACGGCGTTTGATCACGCACAATTCCTCTTCCGAACTCTTATTTTTAAAATAGTTGTAAGCAATTCTCCTGCTCTGAGATTGGAACAGTTGACTTTTTATTTAAAAATGATTAGGAGTAATAGTAAATTAATAAGAACAGGGTTTTATTTGGTCTGACGGGAAAAAAAAGGAATTTGAAATGTTTGTTTGCAAGCTGGTCACGAATAAGAGCTAGATACATATCATCATGCACTTAGGTTCCTCCCGTTTTTCGTCAACGAAAGCTATTATTGTTCTCTGTAAAATTGAACGTCGTGGATGAGAAAGAGTAGCAGAACCTATTCGATTAGATATATATACATATATATATATATATATATATATATATATATATAATATATCGGCTGTTTGTATTTTAATGGGTCGTACGCGAAGGTATTCTCAACCTTATGAACTTGACCGTTAATTAAATTAACGGATATCTATAGTTGAAGGATATTATCGAAGCAAAGCACGATCACAGGAAGTGCGTGAACAACGCACAACGCGATCATGGTGGCTGAGCTCATTGACATTTCTACGAGGAATACCGCCGAGTGGACAGCAGTTGGAGATATTCGCAATAAGCATTGGAGAAGACCTAAATGGATCAAGATTGCGACTCGTGAACCGATTTACAACAGAGTTCTCGACGTTAACGAGAGGAATTTCGTTGTTGTCGTCTTGGAATCAAAAACGCTACAAAATCGTCTTACCCTACGATTAGATTCAGAGGAGTACGCGTTTAATAAGAAAAAGGTGCGATCGAAAAAAGCAGCACTTTTGCACGAAATGCACACTAACGTGAACGATACAGAAGATGTCGGCAAGGACGATGACGATTTTCAAGATGTTGACCATTCCCGTTTAACCGCTGTAGTCGTTCCCAGAGGTATAGTCGGTTTGATCGGACCCTACAGAGTTTATCAAAATCCTAACGAGAAAAGAGAGTATATGCTGCGAGAGGAAGAACTCGTAGAGGAGATCGTAGATTCTGTCAGTGTTTCTCAGGAAACTCATAGAAGAGCAAAATGGAAGATCAAAGAGGACGACGAGGAAACCTTGGTTTTTCCTGATATATCCGATTCCGAATGGAAGATAGTCGATGAGCGTTGCTTCGAGGACGAGATCGAAGATTCCAATAAAGTCGAAGGAATTCTTTCTGGTAAGGAAGAAGGAGTCGACGTTAACGTGTCCGAAATTTCCTTTCATGATATTCCGTCGAAGAAAGAAAAGGGTAAGCAAAAGTATCAAAGATAAATAGACACATAAGTAGACACAATATTCAAGAATATGGTCGTATTTCTGTGCCGTATTTCTGTGCCGTATGTCTGTGCCGTATGTCGTGAATAGAAAAGCGAATAGCGGTAGTACGCGACACCTGTTTCACCGATAGATGTGAACCACCTGGAATCCTGTGACGCACCTGTGTCCTGTGATCATCTTTCGTTAGGAAAGATCGTTCAATGCCGAATAATTGTGCTTCTAATTATAATCCTAATTTAAGACACGTCTCTTTTGAATTTCATAGTATAAATTTTCAGGTATATAGACTACAAATATCTCCTATTAGCGTTTATTACTTTCGTCATAAAAAACCTACAACGGTATTTTCATGTCACGTATGTATTTGAGGAAGTAATTGGAAGACATCTGCTAGTAAGAAGCAGTAATCATAATAGTCAAAGCATATGGAAGAAGTAGTATCAAAAGATGTACAACTTGAATATGTAGTATATTTATAAAAGAGTAGTAATCGTAATCGCTTCCGTTACGTATTTTACGACCTAATGAATTTTGTCGTACATTTTTCCAAAGCGTAATAAATAAATAATAAATTATATTCGTTCGATTTCGAATGACACGGAGATATAGGTACTCTTTATGAGGACACGCATGTAAAATGCATGCTTCGTGTGAAAGTAGTCCTGTGTACGTTCATTCTAAAGTGTGGCCAAGTCGTCGTCGTCTGTTCATCAAACTTTCATCAAATTTTGTTTCTCGTTTGGACCACTTTCGTCTTTTTTTCTCTCTCTCTCTCTCTCTCTCTCTCTCTCTCACGAGTCAAGTACCTGCTTTCGTTAGTGAAATTTCCAATGGGAGCAGGAATTGAAAGAAAGCGGATGATGGGTACGATCGGTTTGTAAGTCTTTTTAAGTAAGTCGGTTGACGGTCATTTTGTAATTTACTTTTTACTCTAACCAATTCTTTTCTTATTTTATTTCTAGCTTATTTGACTTATTCTTTAACCGTTAGTCTATCCAAGCAATTTAATATATACACCTATCATCTTTCTGTCTCTCTCTCTTCTTATCTCTTTTTACATTTTCTATTAAAGCTAGTAAAGTTATTTGAACCTTTTCTTGATAAAAATCAACCGTTATTTCTTTCTTCATTCTTCTCTTCGAATAATTTTCTTCCGTATAGTCTTCCGTCAAGCATATGTCGACTCGGTTATGTTGGTCGGCTACCAACTGACGGAACTTGACTCTTGACATTTGACTTCTTTTGGCCATCAAAGTGCATCCTTTGCATCATTTTCCGCGATAGATACGCGTGGCCCTTGATTTCACGAACAGCGGCTGCTGCTGCATCTTTTACGATGAACGAAAAGAGGAGGAGGGTCAGAGAGAGGATAGAGAGAAAGAGAATGTTCTTCAACGGGTTCTTCCTAAGATGAGAGATAACGGAATACGCGTATAGCATTCAAGAGAGCTTATTAAATACAATTTCGCGAGTGTTCGAAGCTACTTGGACCTTTTTTACACATTTATTGTGCTGTGCAAATGAGAGAGGACTCTATCGTACTATCTGTTACATAAGATAGAATTCCAGAGTAAATTAAAGCGAGAGTAATTTACGTACATTGTATTAAAGGCATGTATAAATAATCAGCTGCGCCACGTTCTGCATATTATTATAGTATTATGAAATTATCAAGTATTCTGATGGTCGCTAGAAACTTCTTACAATAAAAATGCATATTAGCTTTGCACGGTGGATGCTATGGTTGATAGACTTTCCATTTACTATTTCTAGTTTATTTATTCCAATTTGAATCTTTTTTTTTTCTTTTTTATTACACCTTAGATAAAGATTTTGATGATAATAATTATAAATGAGACGCGATGAAAATTACAGTTCAATAGTTCAATATTTTGTAGAGTTTGTGTACTAATTCGATAATACACTAAAATTATTTGAAAAGAAGTTCTGTTTTCCCTAGAATTCATTACATGCTCTTGCACTTGTACTAATTGCACACGATTTAACGCATCGAGAGATTATACTTTTACTCGAAGATTTTCGATTTACTCATCGGCCGTGGAAGTACGTAGAAAAGGGCAAAAATGCTCGCACATTAAATTTTCCTATAGGATAATCATACTCTTGATGTTTCAGCAAGTAACGAACAACAGGATAAGGACAGTTTGAACGAGACGACGAGTACAGCGGGTGGCAACGTGGAAGGTATACCAAGTGGTATACCAAGTGGTACTCCTGGAAGGGGTGAAAGGAATAACGAAAATGAATCCGTACCAGCGCAGTTATCTTCCTCTTCACCACCCTCAAGATCTTTAGTATCCAGGATTCTTGCGAGAGCACGATCATCGCCAAACGATTTGCTCGACCATACCGATCCATTGTAAGAAACTATATATTATCAACGTATAATATGAACTTTATTATTATGACATTTCTCCCTTTTACCTATTATAACAGTTCTCAATTATGGATCGTTCTGTCCAATGTTTACGGAGAATTGGTGATAGTGGTAATGATGGCACTATGTTTAGCCGAAGTCATGGATACGCCCGTTCCTCTTCTCAGCTTGCAGGTATAGCCAATTACTATTTTTCATTTGTAATGATCATTTGATTAAACAAATAAAAAAAGATAATGACCATGATAAAGGGAATAATATATCATCTGATTTTAGGGTATCTTTTTAATGTATCTCTACGTCGGAAGTATTGCTGTTATCATCGGTATATATATTTGGGTATTGCTCGATAGCTGTGCGAGTATTAACGGTATTAGAAGTGACGTGGAAATCGGTGGTACTTCTATTACGAGGTTCGGATCATTGAAACGTGCTCATATTTCTCGAGCTAGAACAGCACCCACAAGCTTTTACATCCGCGTCGGTGCACTTTGTAAGTAATTTTATAATTTGATCTTCCTCTTACGATATTTATTTCCAAGCTAATTCGATTAATTGGACATACTTTTCACAAGTATTTGGATTAGCTACTCTGGTCTTCAATGGTTTAGAAATGGCAATGCACTCGATGATGCAAGGCGCTGAATGCTTGAGCGATGTCATTTTTGCGCATCCCGTATTGCATGGATTATTTACCTTTTTACAAATGCATTTTTTATTCGTTAATTCTCAAGTAAGACGATTCTCTATGTATGATGCATGAAATTTCATTAATTGCGTTCTTTTTCGTAAAATTTCGTAAAATTTGTCTACTAGGTGCTCGTCGAAAGATTCGGTTTAGCTGCCAGATTTGGTTTTACGCATCTTGCAGCGACAAACATAGCCGTCTGGGTGCGTCTTGTTATTTGGGACTCTGCTCAAGAATGGACTTATTTCGTATATTTGGCTGAACGAGGACCTCATACATCTGCATCCACTTTAAATCTTCGTGGATTTCCCGGTTCTTTAACGAGAAATTCTCGTGATCTTGTAGGTATGTCATTTATATTTTCTCTTTATCTCTTATTAGAAAATAAGTAAGTAAGTATAAATAAGAATTTGATTTTGTATGAATTTTACAGTCGATCACTTGTCGGAAGATAGGTCGGAAGATAGGTCGATGATGATGTTCAGGCCGTATCGACCAATTTCGAATGAACAAATTTCACAAGTGATTGCCTTACAAGAGTGTTTAAACACAAATACGCTTGGACAATTGTGGACATCGAGTTTACCATTTCTTTATCCTTTCATCGTACAATTTAGGTTAGTTATTATTTTGAAGACGCAAAATAATATAATTTAAAACAAAAATATAAATGAATAATTTTTGCTCATTTGAATGATTGATTTTTAGTTTAATCGCAGCCGCCGTAACATTTGTTATGGGACAAAATGTGGGTCGAAGTCGCATAGCTCAGAAACAAAAATTCCACGGCGGTAGCAAGGATTTAACGAGTCACTCGCGACGAGTAGGTTGCGATGGATCTAGCAAAGGTCTCTTTCTTGGAATACTCTGCATGGTAGCCGGTATCGTAGTTATCTTGATCTTCCTAGTTGTTAGGGAGGACGAACATTTCTCAAATATTACTTTATCTTGGTTGACATGCGGCACCTTAATCGGTATTCTGGCATTAAGCGGTTTGATGACATCAACCGGCTTGATACAAATTCGTCAAATGCCCGTAATAACCAAGGCACCTGCCGCTCTCGACAGTATCCTCTCGAACGTTGCCATTTTTGGAGTTCAACTGTATTCTATTTTTACGATCGTGGTATGCGCTTGTTCTTTGGCTTTACTCGAAAATGAAAACGAAGAAAAAAGGGAAGAAGCCCAATCGGAGGAGGATGGAAACGCAAGGCAGACGCGCGGTAGACACATCATGTTACTATCGGTTTCGATCCTACAATTGATTCAATGCTTCGCGCAAAGCACCTTCATTGCTGAAACATCAAGGAGATCCTGCATTACGCGATTTCAAATGTTAGCCAAGCCAGGACGCCAGGTCATCACTTTCCTTTTATTCACCAATGCCGTTTTATGGGCTTTCGATACTGTAATCACGCAAAACTGGTTATCCCAAGAGTTGCAATTAAGATTTTTCGGTGTTCTTGTATGGGGCATTTTATCGAGAATCGGTTTACCGTTATTAATATTCTATCGATTTCACAGTTGCGTACTTTTATTAGAAGCCTGGAACAAATGCTATAGAACGCCCATAGGTGAACATCCGCTCAACTGACGGCGGCACATAAAGCATTCGTTCGATGGCTCGCAGAATCAAATTTGTTCGCCGCCTTATTCGCATTACTACCAAGGGATGCTAATCGATTTATTTAAAGAAGAAAATAAAGGGATATCTTGCATGATAGAAAAAATGCCGAAGAAAATACTATTACGTCGTAAAACTGAGTTAACTTTGAATTCAAGGCATTTTATTCCATATATAGATAGTTCTAGTTGGCTTTATGTAGATCCTAATCCTATGTGTACTCAATATTTGGAATATGCTATGCCGCCACCGAAAAGAAAAATTCATCGTCATCATCACCATCATCGTCCTCGACACCACGAAAGACACCGCCGAGTAATGAGTGATCCAGGTAGAGGATCTTGGAATTATCTCGATAATCTTTATCAAACGAAACAACAACAACATCGAAGAGGGTTCAGTTTCAGCGAATATAATAATGAAATGCAAACATCGATAATACGAACTAACGAGATGGATAAGTTTTGTCTACCATCCGAAGAAACAAGCGCATCGACTTTTAGAAAAGTGCCATGGCACCCGAATTTACATATGTTGAAGATAAGAAGAACGTGAAATGCCCTTATGTGCTATATTCAACATTTTTCAACGATGACATCAAGTTTATTTATCGTATGCATGCACTTGGCTTTCATATTTCGAATTGATAATTCAAACGCGATTCGAACGCGATAGCGCGTAGCTTACTTTATTTATTATTATTTCATTGACAATTATATTTTGTACATAAATAAATATCGGAATTATACTAATTTATGCTTTGTAAAGAATAAATTGACAATGAGTTAACACCAAATTAATTGAGCCGATCGACTCTATTTATCTGGACGTTTGTTTGTTCGAACGTTTATATTTTATTATAATATATCAATACTATTTACTATTTTACCATTTTGATCATTCCTATCATTAGGATAATATGATGTTTTTCTTATTTATTTGTATTATTTAACAAAAGTTTGAAAAAAGAATTACGTCCCACCATGTTATGACTTGAGGATCATAGGTTCCTTCGTTTTCTATAATATACGTAATATTACTACTTTATAGATTTAACAGGATGAAAAAATAATATATTTATCACCATATATTTTCCACCAAGTTACGAAACAGTTAAATAATAATAAATGCGTGGGTGAAATGTAGAAAAATAGCGTTGCGAAAGCCTTATCAGCAGAAAGCCTTATTTCGTCGATTTTCCTTATTAGCTCGATTTCCGATTAGCTATTTTCAAAGGGCAATAATGACAATTATATAATGACAAAGGATACAAAATATAATCGAAAAACAAACTCTATTTTATGTATGACATATTTCTAAGACTAAAAAACATTGTATAAGATAAAAATACATGTACCAACTTGTATGGTATAACACACTTAATCAAGACCAACATCATCCTGAGGTTGTTGAGAAGACTTTGGGGTATTAAATTGCGAAGCGTTTCTAACAGAAGAACCGGACATGTTTGACATCATTTGGAATACGTCAGCAATACCAGTAGTACCACCACTGCCAAATTTACGTCCAACTTTTTCAATGAATGCAGTGATTTTTTTATTTTGACAATATTTCACAAAATTCGATGGATTGTTACTAATATCTTTGAAAGCTTCGAATATCTCTGGATCCTGAAAAGTAATATTTCGCTAACTAAGATATATATCACTGCTTAGTATACATAATATACTACATTATATACATAATAGCGTCGTGTGAAAAGGCATGTGTGCTCTTAGGCATCCATCCCTTTAAAAACCAAGTTCACGAGCTTACCAGGAAACTTTCCAATATTTCCGGATCACGTAAAAATTGGGATATATCTACTTTTTCATTGGGTTTTTCGTTGGTTTTTTCAGGCTTCTTTTCTTTTGCTTTTTTTACATTCTCATCTTCCGCCGTTTGTTTCAACTTTTCTTCGAGCTTGCGTTCTTTTTTCCTTTTGTGTTCTTCGATTTTGCGAGCCTGCAATGATACACATATTATTCCAATAAATTATTGGATTGATAATTTGATTAATTTAGGAAACAAATGAATATACAATAGCAATTTTCTCAGATATAATCGCGCGCAATCAAAGGGTTAACTTGCGATATAATTTCAGGAACGGATCCAACGACTAAATCATTATGACGTGAACATGCCTGCGCAAGGTACATTGTGACCTCTTATGATTATACAGGCTTATTATAGACGGTAGAGCAGCCAATTTGGCTAGCAAACCTGTTCTTAAGAATGGAAAAACAAGTCTAATATGTTTAATACTATTACACTGGAATATTTATCGATAGTTATCGATTATTATATTAAATTACAGGATAGGTGGTGATAGATACCTTAACGATAACTCAATTTACCAATTACTCTAATTTATTATACAAATCTTGATAGTCAAATGGCTATAGTCAAATGGCGATTGTCACGTTCGAACAAAATATCATAAAACGATTAATTGTTGTGTTTATTGACAAGAAGAATTAAGAAAAGAGCCGGTCACGGTGCGAGCGAGACCAAGAGAGTAGAGAGGTGGTGGTAGGAAGGAGGTATAAGAACTTTTGCACGAGTGGCAACCTTATACGGCGGCGACCCGGGCATCTAAATATAAAGGTGGTTGCCGTTGAGACGATCCTTTCTGTCTGATGCGAAAGCGGCCATCCGAGCGCGCCTCTTACTCTATACACAAAGATATCGCATAATGAACTTATAATTATGATTTATCCTAAAACATAACACCCACTTATTCTCTATTGTCATTCAAGTCACAACAATATGAAAAGAAAATATAATAAAAGCTTCAATTTTGAATAATTACAGCCTGACGAATTTATGATTTCATTAATTTAGCATAGATATTGAATTAACAAACTTTCTTCTTATGTTTTTTCATCTATCATTTTGTTTTTTGGAACAAAGTATAAAAAAAAGAGAGGATGGCAAAATGTCAAAAATTAATACAATACAGGCACACGAATTTTGATAATTCGTGTAGTAATGTCAGGGTTGCGTTTACAAGATGAATGAAAAAAGAAAGGAAAAGCGAAGAAACAAGACATAAGTATGCGCGCCGGACGAAATTTCGTGAGCAACGGAGAGGGGTGTCTTCAGGGTAATACGACTGTAGTACAACGGATGCCAGTTCTCCGCAAGCGAGTTAGGCTCCTCGAATTCGAGCGTCGCGAGTGAGAGAAGCTACCAGCAGCAGCCTGGCTCATCTTTTAGTGTCTAGTGTAACGATATGACGGGCTCGTGGCTGAGACCCGTGTTCTTCGTGGGCCTCTTCCTGAGCTTTCTAGCCATTACCTTGCAGGGTGAGTACGCATTCATTTTTCCATTCTATCGATACGATAAAATTACTAACTTTCCATAGTCCTTGTACCCTTTTCAAATGTTTCTTCGTCCCTTGCTTCCTATACGTTAATCCTTCCATTCGATTCTACTGCTTCTGCTGCTTCTGTTGTTGTTGTTATTGCTGGCTCTTGCTATTCCTGTTACTACTACTACTACTACTACTACTACTACTACTACTACTACTACTACTACTACTACTACTACTA